TTAGGGCACAGACGAGAGAAAAGACTGTACATGGCAAAAACAAGAAATACCTGCACAAGTTACACGAAATATCACACAAAACTGACTCCTGTGAGCTTTAAGTCGTGTTTTTATGTTCTTACCGCATCAAAAACAGAGCTGGACTTGTGTTTTGTTTCTTTATTATGAGTCTGTTTACATCTCTAAAGCTCCAAACGCTCTGTTCCACCTTGTGATGTCATGAAATGGCAGTTTTCACGTTTACCCGCTATTTTTTTTACATTTTGTTTACTAAAGTTCGGCAATTCCGGGTCTGAAATGATGCAGCTGATTCTAGTGAAGGTTTGTGGAGTTTAAAAACACAGTGGAGCACTTCCTGCATAATCACCATATGACATCACAAGGTGGAACACAGTGTTTTCAGTTTGTGAGAAAAACTCACTCTAAATGTGCAGGGTTTGTGTTTTAAATATGTGAATGAAACAAATCGACATTAGATCAGGTCCCTGAACCCCCGGGCCGTGGACCGTGGACCGTGGACCGGTACCGGGCCGTGGGTCGCGAGAAACCAGGCCACGAAAACGCGAATCAACCCCTCCCCCAAACACCGCACGGACCGTGTCTCTAAACCAGAACTAAAATCAGGACTAAACCTGGACTAAAACCTGAAAAAAAAAAAAAAAAAAAAAACTGGAATAAACCAGGACTAAACCAGGATTTAAACCAGGACTAAACCAGGACTAAAACCAGGTCTAAAACCAGGATTAAAACCAGGACTAAACCAGGATTTAAACTATGACTAAACTAGGACTAAACCAGGACTAAAACCAGGTCTAAAACCAGGACTAAACCAGGTCTAAAACCAGGACTACACCAGGACTTAAACCAGGACTTAAACCAGGACTAAACCAAGACAGGACTAAACCAGGACTAAACCTGGACTAAACCAGGATTTAAACCTGGACTAAACCAGGACTAAACCAAGACTAAACCAGGACTAAAACCAGGTCTAAAACCAGGACTAAACCAGGACTAAACCAGGACTTAAACCAGGACTAAACCAGGACTAAACCAGGACTAAACCAGGACTAAACCAGGACTAAACCAGGACTAAACCAGACCAGACTAACAGGACTTTAAACCAGGACTAAACCAGGACTAAACCAGGACTAAACCAGGACTAAACCAGGACTAAAACCAGGACTAAACCAGGACTAAACCAGGACTAAACCAGGACTTAAACCAGGACTAAACCAGGACTAAAACCAGGACTAAACCAGGACTTAAACCAGGACTAAATCAGGTCTAAAACCAGGACTAAATCAGGACTAAACCAGGATTAAAACCAGGACTAAACCAAGACTAAACCAGGACTAAAACCAGGTCTAAACCAGGACTAAACCAGGTCTAAACCTCCTCTGGAGCAGACGTCCTCCCCTCAGCTGCTCCTCTCGACGTGGAGGAGCAGCGGCTCTACTCCGAGCTCCTCACCCTGTCTCTACGGGAGCCCCCGGACGCCCTGTGGAGGAAACTCATTTGGGCCGTCATCACGCAAATCCAGGAAGTGCTCCACTGTGTTTTTAAACTCCACACAGCTTCACTAGAATCATGTGGATCATTTTTAGACGAATAATAAAGCGTCACTAAAAACACAACTCCAGTTTTGAGTGATACAGAACCTTTAAAACAAACACGAGGGACCTGATGTGAAAAGCAGAGCGGCGCGGCGCAGGTCCGAGTCTGCACAAAGCATCACGGGAGCAGACACAAAGCATGATGGGAGCAGACGCCGCAGACTGACCGCACCACGACACGCCGAGCCAAGACAGAGAGAGAGAGCGCCAAGAAATATCCAACAGAACCAGCCTCGCAAATGAAACCTGTACATTTCACATGACGGGAGAGAAAAACATCAGAAAGAAAATGTAAAAAGAAACAGACTTCGGGGTTAAATCATTTTAGACGAGGTTTTTGTCACGAGGCAAAAACGTCAAACTTGATGCGAGGACTGATGAATCCACTTCATACTAAAACTCAAATCACTGTAATAATTAAAAACACACTTTCTTTAAACAATAGAATTTGATTTCCAACATTAAACAGTTTTGCTTTCTTTTCTATTCCCATGTGGCGTTACATCTGTGTTTGGCGATTTTGCAATTTTCGATTTGCTTTTCTTCCATCTACCGTATTTTTTGGACTCTAAGGGTCATTCCAGCCCCCGCCCGACCATCTCAGATCTGACTGAAAAAATTCTAGGAGGTTCACACAGTTTCCAACAGGAAAAGTCCCAAAATTTAGCTCCCGACTCCTTATAGGGTCACGCACGTTTTTTCCCAGTCACGACTTTTCCCCGATCATTACTTTTCAAGTTACGGCTCATTTAGTGAGGGGAGGATGTGTCCATTTACGGGCCCAAAATCGCGTAGTTTTTTTTCTCTGCCGTTTTCACAGGTCGATATGTACGGAAGCCGAGAGGGTCACAACAAACGCAAACGCCACAACAAAATATAAATGCGACAACACAACAAAAAGTCGCAACAAACCAAAAAAAAAGCCACAACGGAAATGACCGCGGGACTCGATTTTAATGCAAACGCCGCAACAAACGCAAACGCCACAACACATTAAAAAGCCACAACAGAAGTGACCGCGGGACTCTATTTTCCGACGGACCGATCAAGTGGCAAGTAAAGAAGAAGAAGAACTACAACGTGAAAAGTAAAGGAACGGAGAAGTTGGAAACGTAAGTAAAAGTAATTTATTGTTTTATCGTTATTCGTTTCAAGTTGTAGTTCTTCTTCTTCACTTGCCGCTTGATCGATCGGTCGGAAAATAGAGTCCCGCGGTCACTTCTGTTGTGGCTTTTTGATGTGTTGTGGCTTTTTAATGTGTTGTGGCTTTTTAAATGTGTTGTGGCTTTTTGATGTGTTGTGGCATTTGCGTTTGTGTTGTGGCGTTTGTATTTGTTGCGGCGTTTGCATTAAAAAAGACTTGTCCCATGTGTTGTGGCTTGTTGTGGCTGTTGTGGCTTTTGATGTGTTTGGTGTGGCTTTTTTGTGTTGTGGCTTTTTTTTGTGTTGTGGCTTTTGATGTGTTGTGGCTTTTTGATGTGTTGTGGCTTTTTGATGTGTGTGTTGTGGCTTTTTAATGTGTTGTGGCTTTTTGAATTGTTGTGCTTTTTAATGTGTTGTGGCTTTTTTAATTTGCGTTTGTGTTGTGGTGTTTGTATTTGTTGTGGCATTTGTATTAAAATAGAGTCCTGCGGTCATTTGTGTGTGTTGTGGCTTTTTTTGGTTTGTTGTGGCTTTTTGTTGTGTTGTCGCATTTGTATTCGTTGCGGCGTTTGCGTTTGCTGTGACCCTCTGGGCTTCTGTAGATAACTCTGTAAGTATCACACACAAAGGGCTGAAATTTTGTAGACGTGTGCTCCTCTACTCTGTGTTCAAATAACATCGATCAAAAGTTTGGTATCTCAACTCATTGTCATTTTATATGAACTTAAAAATGAAAAAAAAAAAAACAAACATGCTAATTTCCGTGAAGTACCATTTTTAGCCCCTTTTTAAACCTACTTGTAGGTGTTGGAGACCCTTAAATTTTTGTGAGAATCAAGATTTGAACTAGGACTGTTAAAAAAATGACCAAATGTTGAAAATTTTAAATGTGTTATGTGTGAGGGTTCTGTTAAAAACAAGAAAACGCCATTTTACTTTTTATTTTTCACCATCATAATTATTATTATCTTTTGATTGTTTGCCTTTGCTTCATTTTTGATAATATTTGGATTTGGTATTTATTATTAAGATGGTGTTTTCCTTTTGAAAATAAGAAAAATATAAAAGGAAAAATAATAGTGATTTGTAAATCTTGTTTGAGTATATTGTGATTCTTAATAAAAAAAAAAAAAAAAAGAAAAAAAAAAAAAAAGAAAACGCAACATGGTCCGAATTTCAGATGTAATTTATGGCATGTGGGTAGTGATAAAAAATGTTTGAATAATTTTAGTTTGAAAGAGCAGAAAAAGACCTTTCATATGGATTTTATGAAGCTCCTTCAATTTCTCTGTTTTGAGCAGAGTTGTTCGAGGAGCCTCTTTCAGATTACTGTATCTAAAAACTATTTTGCCTGTTACGATAATAATAATAATTTAAAAAAAATCTATTAAAGGTTGTATGGAGGATTTTTTTTTGTTTCAAATTGTCAATGAAAGTTTAAAATACCATTACAGAGACGCAGCAGCTTTGTAATTATAATGACCAAAAAAAAAAACAATGAAAATCTATCAACTGTGGATGTAGTGAGGACAGATAAACATCAGCCAATAGAAAACAAGGCTCCCTCATTTTCTATTGGCTGTTAGGTTGTCAATCAAACTCCCTAGTGTAACTGAGTCGTCGGTGCGCGGGGATTACGTGGTTTATGCAGCGGTTCTTAGAGGCTTTTTCAAACTGTAGTTTCCTCGCATTTCGCACAAAGTTTGTCGCGACGGCGGACGAGAATCCACGACCAGTTCGCCGCAAAAGAAAGTCGGTTTTTGAGGTCGCTGAAAGAAGAAGAGAAGGAGAAAAGGAGCGAAGACAAACTGAGGTGATTCTTGGAGATTCCTTCCACCGATGGTGCGACTGAAACAGACGAAGGGTCTAAAAACTGACACATCGGTCACTAAATTACCTCTAGACAGGAAACGTCAACAGTGATTCTAAACACACACAAGGACGGTCGCTGTATTTCTCTTCCCTTAAAAAAATCCTCTATACAAACTTTAATTGCACGATAACTTTAAATAACTTGTTCAACTGCACGAGGTCAAAAACAGATAGGAAAATAATTTAAATAATCTACATCTCTCCACTGAGCACAGGAGGTTTTGTTTTGTTTTGTTTTTTTTAAAGTGAAAATTAAACCCTGTGCCCCTGTCAGCGCTGCTCCTGTCAGTTCTGTGTGTGACAGTGTTGCTCCTGTCAGTTCTGTGTGTGACAGTGTTGCTCCTGTCAGTTCTGTGCAGGTGCAGGTCTTACCTTGGATCTGGGGGATGTACGGAGCCAGAAGTTTACTCCTCTTCTTCTCATAACCCTTCTGAGTGATGTCCCCTGAACAACACAGAGAGAGAGAGAGAAGGAGGAGGTTAGAGTGAGGTCACTGAGAGAGAGAGAGAGAGAGAGAGAGAGAGTGTGTGAGGTCAGAGGAAAGAGAGAGAGAAAGAGAGAGAGTAGAGTGAGGTCACTGGAGAGAGAGAGAGAGAGAGAGAGAGAGAGAGAGGAAGAGAGAGAGAGAAAGAGAGAGTGAGACTGAGAAGAGAGAGAGAGAGAGAGAAAGAGAAAGACAGAGAAGGAGGTTAGAGTGAAGTCATAGAGAGAGAGGGAGGGAGAGGTCAAAGGGAAAAAAAAGAGAAAGAAGGACAGAGAGGGAAGTAGGAGTGAGGCCAGAGAAGAGAGGGAGTGAGAGAGAAGAGAAGAGAAAAGAGAGAGAGGGCGGTGGCAGTTAGAGTGAGGTCAAAGGAGAGAGAGAGAAAGAAGAGGAGAAGAGGAGAAGAGGTTAGAATGAGGTCAGAGGAGAGGAGAGAAGAGGAGAAGAGAAGAAAAAAAGAGAGAGGAGAGAGAGAGGCTGGGTTAGAGCGAGATCAGAAGGAAGAGAGAGTATAGAGGGATAGAGAGAGAGAGAGAGAGTATAGAGGGATAAGAGAGAGAGAGAGAGAGTATAGAGGGATAAGAGAGAGAGAGAGAGAGAGAGTATAGAGGGATAAGAGAGAGAGAGAGAGAGTATAGAGGGATAAGAGAGAGAGGGGGGGGGGCACTTGTCCTGGCACCACTTGGCACCGCGGGCACTAGAGCGAACGAACAGCTGCTGCACACGACACGACTCAGACTGAACAGACTGAGCTCTCACAACACGACACACACACACACACACACAACACACACACAACACACACACACACACACACACACACACACACACACACACACAACAACACACACTCAACACACACACACACACACACACACACACACACAACACACACACACACACACACACACACACACACACACACACACAACACACACACACACACACACACACAAACACACACACACACACACACAACACACTTTACATGACTGAAAGTCTGAAACGTCTGTCTAAAAGTCTGAAAATCGTCTAAAACATCTAAAAGTCTAAAAAACATCTAAAAGTCTAAAAGTCTGAAACAGTCTAAAATCTAAAAGTCTAAAAGTCTGACACATCTAAAAGTCTGAACATCTAAAAGTCTAAAAAAACATCTAAAAGTCTGAACATCTAAAAGTCTAAAAGTCTAAAAGTCTGAACATCTAAAAAAAAGTCTGAACATCTAAAAGTCTAAAAGTCTAAAAGTCTGAAACATCTAAAACAGTCTAAAAGTCTAAAAGTCTGAAATCTAAAAGTCTGAACATCTAAAAAGTCTGAACATCTAAAAGTCTGAAATCTAAAGTCTAAAAGTCTAAAAGTCTAAAATCTAAAAGTCTAAAATCTAAAATCTGAACATCTAAAAGTCTAAAAGTCTAAAATCTAAAAGTCTAAAAGTCTGAACATCTAAAAGTCTGAAAAGTCTGAAATCTAAAAGTCTAAACATCTAAAAGTCTAAACATCTAAAAGTCTAAAAGTCTGTCTAAAAGTCTGAACATCTAAAAGTCTGAAACATCTAAAAGTCTAAAAGTCTGAACATCTAAAAGTCTGAACATCTAAAAGTCTGAACATCTAAAAGTCTAAAAGTCTGAAAGTCTGAACATCTAAAAGTCTAAAACATCTAAAAGTCTAAACATCTAAAAGTCTAAACATCTAAAAGTCTGAACATCTAAAAGTCTAAAAGTCTGAACATCTAAAAGTCTGAACATCTAAAAGTCTGAACATCTAAAAGTCTAAAAGTCTGAACATCTAAAAGTCTGAACATCTAAAAGTCTAAACATCTAAAAGTCTGAACATCTAAAAGTCTGAACATCTAAAAGTCTAAACATCTAAAAGTCTAAACATCTAAAAGTCTAAAAGTCTGAACATCTAAAAGTCTGAAACATCTAAAAGTCTGAACATCTCTAAAATCTAAAAGTCTCATCTAAAACATCTAAAAGTCTGAACAGTCTAAAAGAACATCTAAAAGTCTAAAAGTCTGAACATCTAAAAGTCTGAAAACTAAAAGTCTAAACATCTAAAAGTCTGAACATCTAAAAGTCTAAAAGTCTGAACATCTAAAAGTCTAAAAGTCTGAACATCTAAAAGTCTAAACATCTAAAAGTCTAAAAGTCTGAACATCTAAAAGTCTAAAAGTCTGAACATCTAAAAGTCTAAAAGAACATCTAAAAGTCTGAACATCTAAAAGTCTGAACATCTAAAAGTCTGAAAGTCTGAACATCTAAAAGTCTAAAAATCTGAACATCTAAAAGTCTGAACATCTAAAAGTCTAAACTAAAAGTCTAAAAGTCTAAAAGTCTAAAAGTCTAAAAGTCTAAAAGTCTGAACATCTAAAAGTCTGAACATCTAAAAGTCTAAAAGTCTAAAAGTCTGAACATCTAAAAGTCTAAAAGTCTAAAAAACATCTCTGAACATCTAAAAGTCTGAAACATCTAAAAGTCTAAAAGTCTGAACATCTAAAAGTCTAAAAGTCTGAACATCTAAAAGTCTAAAAGTCTGAACATCTAAAAGAACATCTAAAAGTCTGAACATCTAAAAGTCTGAACATCTAAAAGTCTGAACATCTAAAAGTCTAAAAGTCTAAACATCTAAAAGTCTGAACATCTAAAAGTCTAAAAGTCTGAACATCTAAAAGTCTGAACATCTAAAAGTCTGAACTAAAATCTAAAAGTCTGAAACTAAACATCTAAAAGTCTGAAACTAAAATCTAAAAGTCTAAAAGTCTAAACATCTAAAAGTCTAAAAGAAAACATCTAAAAGTCTGAACATCTAAAAGTCTATCTAAAAGAACATCTAAAAGTCTGAACATCTAAAAGAACATCTAAACATCTAAAAGTCTAAAACATCTAAAAGAACATCTAAACATCTAAAAGTCTGAACATCTAAAAGTCTGAAAACATCTAAAAGTCTGAACATCTAAAAGTCTGAACATCTAAAAGTCTAAACATCTAAAAGAACATCTAAAAATCATCTAAAAGAACATCTAAAAGTCTGAACATCTAAAAGTCTAAACTAAAAGTCTAAAAGAAATCTAAAAAAATCTAAAAGTCTAAAGTCTAAAAGTCTGAACATCTAAAAGTCTGAACATCTAAAAGAACATCTAAAAACATCTAAAAGTCTGAACATCTAAAAGTCTAAAAGTCTGAACATCTAAAAGTCTGAACATCTAAAAGTCTAAAAAGTCTAAAAGTCTAAAAGTCTAAAAGTCTGAACATCTAAAAGTCTGAACATCTAAAAGTCTGAACATCTAAAAGTCTAAACATCTAAAAGTCTAAAAGTCTGAACATCTAAAAGTCTGAACATCTAAAAGTCTAAAAGTCTGAACATCTAAAAGTCTGAACATCTAAAAGTCTAAACATCTAAAAGTCTGAACATCTAAAAGTCTAAAAGTCTGAACATCTAAAAGTCTGAAACATCTAAAAGTCTAAAAGTCTGAACATCTAAAAGTGTAAAAGTGCCGTATTTACTGTAACACAACACATGTAGATCACCAGCTTTTTCACACATTTTTATATTCATGGACATTTCTCAGAATCAAACCCAGGACCTTCTCGCTGTGAGGGGCGACTGTAAACCACCGCGCTACACTGTTTCACGCTGAAGTGTTTGGCTCAGAGACACAACTACAGAACTAGAAATCTTCTGGTTCATACATACGGTTCATGCAGAGACATAACTCCTCTATTTTTGTACTTTTCTACAACTTTTTTCCACAAACTGTCACTTTCCCGACGTGAAAATATAACAGACTTTGACTTGGACAAACTTTATCGATTCACAAAGAAACATCAAACATCACAATAAATATAAAAACAAAGAGTAAAAATCAAAATGGTGATAATAAATTCTAAATAAGTAGCAAAAAAAACCCCAAAAAACAGATGTCAAATAAGAAAAAATTATATAAATGTAAATGTACAAGTCAAAACAAAAAAATAAAAAAATAGAAAGATTTGTAATGAAATATAAAAAAATAATAATAGTAAAAATGGAGCTCAGGTTCTGTTCACCAAATCAAATCAGGATTATAAAACATAAAAGCGAGAGTTTAGAGAAACATGAGTGTGTGTGTGTGTGTGTGTGTTGTGTGTGTGTTTGTGTGTGTGTGTGTGTGAGTGTGTGTGTGTGTGTGATGTGTGTGTGTGTGTGTGAGTTGTGTGTGTGTGTGTGTGTGTGTGTGTGTGTGTGTGTGTGTGTGTGTGTTTGTGTGTGTGTGTGTGTGTGTGTGTCGGGGTGTGGGCAGCAGCAGAGCATGATGGGAGCAGGATGTGTGTGTGTGTGTGTGTGTGTGTGTGTGTGTGTTTCTCCCACTGGTGACATTTACCCGGAGTCGAGCTCGTGACCAAAACAGACGAGTCGTGACCAACGTGTCTCTGTAATGATGGACTGTTTCCACGGCGACGCTTTATTATTTAATAGAGTTTTATCGTCACACCTGAACCTGAACAAGTCTGTGTCTGTCTCAGGTCATGGACTAATCCAGACCAAGACCAGTCCCAGACCACAGGGTCCCAAGACCAAGACAAGACAAGACCAAGACCAAGACCAAGACAAGACCAGACAAGACCAGGACAAGACCAGGACAAGACCAGGACAAGACCAGACAAGACCAAGACAAGACCAGGACAAGACCAGGACAAGACCAGGACAAGACCAAGACCTCTGAGGGTCGAGACCGAGACAAGACCAAGACCACGGCCCATCAAGACCAAATCAAGACCAACTTTATCATTTTCAACATGTATTTGTATTTTAAAGTTATTTTGGCACAAATATATCAGTGTTTTTATTTAAATAAATCAAAATTTGTATCTGATAAATGTTTAGGCCTAAAATAAGTCCCTTTTTTTGACCCTCACCCACAGTTTGAGAATCTCTTCTTTAAGAAAACTTCCTCTGGCACTTTACACACAAACTGTGAAGAAAG